AAACACGTGGGGCCAGATCCAGGCCCAAATACCACGCCAGTGGCGTCGCTAACTCTTGCCAGCCCAGGAGCTGAGAGCGCATGCAACGATTTTCTCGGCTCCACTGCCCTCTGCGGGATTGTGCCACCATTTCCAGACAGATCCGGGGGACAACAAACAGCCCCAGCCCATCTCTGCAGGAAACAGAGGGCCTCACACCAAGTTGTGTGAGCAGAAAGCGAGTTCTCCCTTATTACATTTTAATTCAATCTGGGAAAGAAAATGCAGTAAAAACAGCGACAGGGAAGTTCTGCCATCTTATTTATGCAACACTCGTGTCCCCAGCTCGCTGCTGGCTCAGTCCTGCCCATCCCATCGGCAAAACCACTCTGTTTTTCCAAAAGTTTGCTACCAACGAGGGAAAAACCAGGGGGCTGCAGTCAAAATCCAGCCCCTGACAACAAGCCAGGGCTATATAGCAAACAAGCACCCAGTATTTTGCCTCTTTATGGCCATCAGCCCTCCCAGGTGCTGGGGCAAGGCTCAGCAAGGAGCCTGCGGTCCAGGTCCTGCCCAAAAAACCCAAGGCAAGTCTGACAAAGCCACGGAGCATCCGCTCAGGAGCGAGTGTTGGCCTGTGTTACTGAGCTGGCTGCATCCAGCCGGCATCGCCGAGCTATAAATAAGGCCGTTTGGAGAGCAACCTGCACGGGGCCCATGCCGCTGGATCCAAGCACAGCCCGGCTGGCCAAAAACTCACCCGGGAGGAAGAAAAAGCATCCGGGAATGACGTCGCTGCTGGGGAAGATACGTGGGGCCTTGCCATCGTGGTGGAAAGCAACCAACCCCCCGCAGTGGGAGTGAAGGTTTTGGGCACAAAAGCCTGGCTTTGGCCTGTGAGAGAGGCAGCAGATGCCAAGTGCAAGCTGGGAAAAGCCTCCTCCACTCAGTTTTGTCAGCACAGGATGGTCTCGTCGGTGTGGATGGGGAGAAAAACACAGATAAAGGGATGCAGGACGCCCCTGCTATCAGAAAAAACAAGTCATGAGCAGCTCCAGCCCCAGTAGAAAGTGTTTATTATTTCAATTACAATAAGCCCCATGTGTAGGGTGAAAAAATAGTTAGAAAAAACTCCCCGCCCCCACCCCTCCTTTTACATATAAATATTAAAAATCACTCTACATCTTTGCAAGGTGCCCCACGAGAGAACATGCAGCACCTGAGCTACTGTCAGTGGTTTCCTCTCAAACCCACAAAAGGAGTCTTAAGAGAAACCCCTTAAAAAAGCCCCTCGCCCCCATCCCAGCCAGATCTCACCCTGCCACCCAAGCGGCCGGGGAGGGATGGAGGTTTGGGGCTGCGCGGTGATTTCGGGACTTGCAGTTTCCCGGGCGCAGAGGCCCGGCCCGGCAGCGAGCAAAGCAGCGGCAGGAACCACCTGCGCTTGTCTGGGGAAGCTTTTGGGCCAGGAAAGCGCAGCTGACCTCGCTTCAGAGGGGACAGGAGGGAGAACCGGGTGCTTCACCAGCACCCTCACCACCTCGGTTACATCTTTGGCACGTCAACTTTTCCCTTTGCACTCTGAAATTAAAGCTAATCCCAGGAGCTGCAGCATGCTGGCAGAGCCTTTCTGTGACCCACAACGTTCTCCAGCCCTGTCCCCCCATTTCCCCATCAGCATCCTCCAAAGATGGCCCCTTCTGGAGAAACCCAGGATCTGGGAGCAGCTACTTGCATCCACAGCCCAGGCAGCCCCCTCAGGCTTTCCCGGCCAAGGGACTGTCACCACAGGGTACTGCACCTACAGCTGCACTGAGTAAAAAAGAAATTAATAAATATACTAATCTTTTACTAAAAAAAAGGCTTTTTAAATGCATTTTCCCTGAAATTTTCCAGTGTACTCCACAACGCATGAAAAAAATATATGTATTTCCCAAACCCCCCCCTCCCCCGAAAAAAAAATATATCTTAAAATCTTTTCCATCCTCATGTGCGCATCTTTGGAGAGAGGAAGGTACGTCGGGGGTATTTAGGCACGCAGCCAAGCCTGCCGGGGTCGCAGTGTTCCCTTTATCGCCTCCAAAAAAAAAATATAAGAGGTATTTTGCTGGGGCGGTGGGTCAGGCTGGAGCACCGCGTGTGTGAACACGAGGTAGTGCCCCTGGACGCACATGCCTCGACACGTGGCCCCGTCATGGCGAGAAAGAAAAGACCCCCAAATCGAAGTCATTTCACAAACGAGCGAGGGGATGAGGAGTTTTCACAGTGGATTGAACCTCAGACGATACCGGGGACAAGGGGCATCGCTCCGGCTGACAGCTGGGCAGTTCTGTGCACGGAGAAGTGGTTTGAGCCTCTCAAAAGGACCGGAAAAATTCAGCCATTGATAGAGGACGAAGCAACTGGCAGCTGGTTCCCTCGGGTGCTCACCCGTCACCAGACTTCGCACTTCTTGGGGGGATTCATGGGGGAGCCGAGGGGGCAGCCAAAATGCTCCGCAAACTCCCGGGAGTTGGAGACCGTGCCGATGACACGGAAACGTGAGGGGCTGTGGGGGTCGGTGATGAGCCCCTCGTGCGAGCTCTCCGGCGTGCGAACTGAGCACCACACCTGCCAACGGAGGACGAGGGCCATGAGTGCCAGCGTCCGCTCGGTGCCGAACAGGACCTCCCCACTTGTGTGACTGGCACCAACACAGCTCAAGCTCCAGCTTTGTCTTGCTTTTTAACCAGCACCACCCCGATCCGGTTCTCCATCCACCACACAGCATCTCTGGAGACCTCAGGTTTGCCATCACGCCCACCCAACACCATCTGGGCACTCCTCCACTTCCAAAACAACCTGTGCATCCACCCTCCCTGCCCACCGCCAAGTGACCCACCTGCGCAAAGCCGACGAAGAAGAGCTGGTGGTTGGTGAGGCCAAGGGTTGGCAGGGTTTCCTCATCGCCATTCTTTTTCAGCCAGTTTTGATATGCCTGGAGACCAGGGAGCACAGTGGGCTCAGGGGACAGCACTGATCCCACCACGCTGTGCCACCGGCCGCATCTCCCCAGCCCCATGGCCCTACCCGGTAGGCAGCCTTGAGGCCCCCGTTGTCAGCGATGTTCTCCCCGAGGGTGTGCTTGCCGTTGACAGCCTCGCCGTTGACGGTGTAGTTGCCGTACTGCTCCACCATGCACGCTGTCTGACGCTTGAAAGCCTCCACCGAGGAGTTCTTCCACCAGGGACGCAGGTTGCCATCCTTGTCATATTCCCGGCCTGCCAAAAACACAACAGGTCCTTCATCACCCTGCCAGCCACCCCTCCAGCAGCAGCCCACTTGCCTGGCCCTGGCCATACCTTGGTCATCGAAGGCATGCGTCAACTCGTGGCCCACCACCACGCCGATCCCACCAAAATTCAGCGACCTGCAGGAGGGCAGTGCCGAGATTTAGAGAGCAGCCGCTGCTCTCTGCAGCCATGAAATTCAGCGTCAGATTTTGGGATGGGAGGAAATTTGGGAATCCTGCCCTCCCCGTTTTCCATAGGCTCTTACTTGGGAGATGCACGGGTGTAAAAAGGGGCCTGGAGGATGCCGGCGGGGAAGACTATCTCGTTCTTGGTGGGAGAGTAGTACGCGTTGACTGTTGGAGGAGTCATGCTCCACCTGCAGGGACATGGACACGGCCAACATGGCAGCACAAACCCATCACCAACGTTTGCTCTGCCACCATCTCCTTATCACAGTGTAATGCACTCGGCCCAAATTTAACTCCCCAAAACCAGCATAGTCTGGTGAACACCAAATCTCAGTGCTCCAGATATTGTGATATTCCCACGGAGTGCAACAGGGAAGTGGAGCAGAGGACTTACTGGTCCCGGTTTGGTGGTTTCCGGAGCTGGTCAGCGGTGACCCTGGCCGAGAAGTTGTAAAACTGCATGACGTTCTCAAAGTAGAGGTCGGGCACTGCCTCATACTACAAAAGAGCGAGGCGTGAGCTGCGCGCGGCGATTACCCAGCCCCGCTCCTCCCTCCGTGGTCATGTCTGAGCCTCTGGAGCCAACTGAGTTACAGCCGCTCTCATTTTTCCTCCTCTGCAACATCTGCAGAGTCTCAGGAGAGCAATGAATCACCGTCATGGAAAGCAGCTCCTCCCCTTCCCAGGCAGGGATCCCGAGGAGCCACAGCCACCCCACGGCTGGCCCGCAGCTCTCTGGGAAGTCCCCAGAGAAGGGATGAGAACATCAGTGAGACTAAGTTTCTGGAGGAAACTTGGGGTTCAAGGCTGCCCTGAGGCCATGGTGATGGGCACGTCCTGCATGTGCTAGTGGAGGCTGGGAACAGGAGACCCAGGGGACGCAGCTGACTGACTCACGTCATTAAAGACTTTATCCAGCTCCTTGGGGTCCATGATGAACTTGGGGTAGCCGATCATGTTGTAGATGGCATCTGCCTAGGGGGTGACAAGGACCAAAGTGATTTTGGGGCCTCCACCATCACAGTCTCCTCCCCAGCGCTGCTGCCAGCGCCTCACCTTCTCTTTGGCCGATTTCCTTGTCTCTTCATCCATCCACTGCAGCGTCTCCAGGCTTTCCTCGAAGGCTGTCTTAATCTCCGCAATCATTTCCTCTGCCTAGACAAAGCAAGGTGGTGCAACATCGGTCTGGAGAGCCAGCCTCCCACCCCAGGAAGTTCAAGGACCCTTCACATTGGTGGGGAGGAAGAGGCCGGGATGCCGAGAGGGCACGCAGACCAGTGAAAGACCCGGTGACCAGAGGCACACGACAGACAAAAGGTAGGCAGAGAAACAGCGGCTGCCCCAGCCATCCACCATCGCGGTGGCTCGCACGCCGCTTGCTTGGGGACGTACCACCTGCTTGCTGTCCTCGGCAAAGGTGGCCTTGACAAACATGGCCCCCAGGGCGAAGCCCAGGTTGTTGTCTGTGTCGCTGATGCAAAATTTCCAGCGCGGGAGGCAGGTCTGCAGGGGACAAGAGGTGGTCGTCAGTGGTGACATGGCCAGAGGCCCCCACCTTCCCACCCCCTTGCCCTGCCAGGACACGATGTCCACATCCATCCCCCCATGCTGGAGCTGTCACCCCAAAACCTGCCCCACATCCTATTTTTTGGATGCAACGTGATGGGCACTTGGCTTAAAGCTGTCAGCATTTTAACAGCTATTTGGGGGCGTTGGGGGCTCCACCCTTACCTTCTTCGTCCCATACATCACTTCCATGAATTTTTCCTCCGCATCCTGGAAGCGCTGGTCAAGGAAGGGGCTGGTTTTCCGCACCAAGTTCCAGATCATGTAGTTGTTGAGGAGACTGTGGCAAGAGGGGATGAGCGGGCACAGCAGGACGTGCCTGCCCACCCTGGGCACCCCTCTCCGTGGGCATGGGGGTGCCCCCCCAACGCTGGGGGCTCTCACCATTTATCCGTGGCCAGGATGAGGTCCGAGACCTGCTCCAGGTACTCCTTGGCGTAGACCACGACGGGCTCTGACTCGTTGAGCTCCACAGGGTAGAAAACCGTGGAGAGGAAGGGCATCCAGTCCACGGCCGGCGCCAGCTCCTGCAAAAGCCATGCCGCTGCTATGGACCCAAAAAAACCATCAGACAGCGGGTAGCAGCCGCTTCCCAAGAAACCTGCCTCAGCCCCTCTTGGAGGGATTCGGCTGATTTGGCAGGGACCAGTTCCCATAACAGCAGCATCCTCCAAAGGTCGGAGGGGAGTAAACAATTTCCTCCCGCAAAGGAAAAGAAAGTGGGGCGGGTGTCAAAAATGTTGACACAAGCCATTAGGGCTCCTTTGGGGACACGGGGAAGTGACCGGGCTGACGTCCACATCTGGGAGGGCGTTAGTGCCGTGGCAGGATGGCCGCCAGCCCCGGGGGTGGTCCGGAGGCTGGGAGGAGCGGGTCAGGGTGGGATTTCCCCAAGGAGGACATGGGCGAAGCTCTTGCACAAGAGCTTCCCAGGCGGTGTTGGCTGGCGTCAGGCTTCCTTGGAAGAGCTGCGTCACCTCCATCCGTCCGCCCCGCTTCCCAAACCACGGCGGAGCAGGGAGGCTCACCAACTCCGTCCCTACCTTTAGGTCACCAGCCGTCATTTTATGGTAGATGACCTCCTCATCCCGGTGCTTCTCCTGTGGGATGGTGATGTTGGCCAACGCTGTCTCGAAGTCCAAGATCTGCTGCATCTGCTGCCGTGTTGACTCCTCATCGGTGCCTCCCAGGAACATCCCCAGCTGCACCATGTAGTTCAGGTACCCAGCAAGCACCTACGTGGTAGGACAGCAGGGTGGATCAGCACGGTGGGTGCCACCCACCCACCCACCACACCTTCCCAGCAAAGCGAGATTTCCCCCAACAACCTTACTTTCTCATTCTCCGTCTTGTTCAGGTAGTAATCCCGCGACGGCAGGCCTAACCCCGACTGATCCACCTGGATGACGTTGCTATTGGAGTTTTTGGAGTCGGCGCTGACGTAGACGGAGAAGAAGGGCGAGGTGCGGTAATGCGCCGTCACCTCCCGCAGTGTCGCGTTGAAGTTGTCCCCTGCCCAGGGACCTGTGATGTTCCAGCCACCCAGCTGGTGAGAGACAGCAACCGGCTTTTGGGTAAGGAACAACCACCTGGAGTTGCTTAAATATCCCCCGCAATACCATCCTCGGGGGGAAACATCTGGCAACGGGGCTAAAAAGCCCAGGAGAGGCCAGACTTGCCTATAAATCCATAAATGCCTGCCTCCCGCCTGCCCTGGGGGATGCTCTTCCCTGGGAAGCACCAGGAATGGTGTCTGGAGGGGGCTGGCACTGCCCGTAAATGAGCTTTTCCCCCTAATTTTGCAGAGGGAAACCAGCTTTTCCAACAAGGAAGGGGCCGAACCTTTTGGATGAGCTCCACGAGCGGGGTGGCGCGCAGCTCCTCGATCTTGCTCTCGTTCATGCAGGCTTGGTAATAACGCTGCGCCTTGCGCTCCGCCTCGCTCGACATGTTGGCCGTGGTGTTTTCTGCAGGAGTTACCCAGGGGGGGCTCATGGGGTCCCCCAGGGACAGGCATGCCCTCCCACAGGGCCTGCCGATGCACGCCAGAGCCCCCACCCTTCCACTGGAGAAATATTCAGCCCCATTTGGGGCAAAGCCAGGCTCCAAAAAGGCACAGAGGATTGCCCTGCCTGTCCCCCCCTGTGCCCCCAAGAACATCCCACGGCCCCCAGCCCTTCCTGTCCTCTTGGCCCCCATCTCCTTTCCCACCCACAGCGACTGCTCCAGCTCTTTGGAGCAGAAAGATAAAGAAAGAAAAAACAAAAAGCATTTTTCCAGCAGCTCTAATGGTCCCACCATCATCCAGCCCCCCGCGCTGCCCTTGCCCCCGTGCTGGTGCTCCCCAGCCCTACATTATTTATTCCTGCAACAAGAAATAATAAACTCATTTTTCTCCTCTGCCTCTAAAACCATCCTTTTATTTCCACCCCCCTCTAAAATTCCGCTTCCCCAGAGAGTTGGGGTTTAATTTTAATTTTTTTATTTTCCTCATGACACAGCTTGCACCTTTGGCTTCCCAGCTGTGCTGTTTTATTGACTAAAGGTCCCTCAGCTCCAAGGAATTCAAGGAAATGCCGAGCACGACCGCTTGGCTAGAGGCCCAGTCCCTTCTCCCCGGTAAAACCAGTGCCAGATTTCTGTGGGAAGAGCTGGGGACAAAGCCATTCCCGTGCCACCCCCCTTCTCCTGAAAGACAACACTCTTCCCAAACCTTCTCTTTTCAGATAATCAGCCCCAGCACAGTGGAAAGTGCTGATAAGGAGCCAGTTGTTTGCTCAAAGCTTGAACAAACCGTCCCCGCCAGCTGCTTGGATAAGCCGCCCCGCTTTGGTGTTCGCACGCAGAGGCTGAGCCTGGGATCCTCCCTCTGCTGGGGGAGTTTTGGCCCCCCAAAATGGCCAGATTTGCAGCCAGCTCCCCAAAAAGGCTGCACACAACAGCTAGAAGCTAGAGCGGGAGGAAAAAACCCATATCCTTGGGGTGATATTGGGGTGCAAATCTCGAATTTCAGAGCTCCTGGGAACACCGCCATGGGATTTGCAGAGCAGAGGCCGGGATCCACCAAATTGCTGCAACACCCAAAAAAATCCCAGGGGCATCCAGGAGAGCAAACACAGCCGGGATCTGCTTCCCAACGTCCTCGCAGCACATGCGTCACGGATTGGTTTGACGCTGGGGTTTGAGTCCAACCTTTCCTCCCCAAGGGCATGTTTCCAGCATCCCCCGGACCTAACGGGGCTTCTTGGCACTGTGAGGGTCTCGCCACTCCCACGTACTCACCCAGCAGATGCTTCATGATGGCCTGGTTGTGCTCCCAGAGGTTGTTGAAGGTCCCCCAGCGTGAGTGGCCATCAGGGAGGGGGTTGGCCTTGATCCAGCCCCCGCAGGCGTAGCCAAAAAAGTCCTCGCAGGGATTCACCGTCCGGTCCAGCGAGCTGAGGATGGAGCTGGTGACAGAGATACAGGCTTCTGACAGGCACACGGTGGGCGGCCCTGGAGGTGGGAACAATGGGTTCAGCTCCTCCACCACGGCATGATGAGCCGCACCAGGGAGGATCCTGATCCACAACGAAGGACATGGATAAATATCCCATCCGGTGCTCGAGCATCCTGCCCTGTACCTTAACATCTTGCTCCAGGGCAAGCCATACAGAGCAGCGTCCCACCCCATGCCTGAGCATCCTGCCCCATCATCCCATCCCATGGCGAGGGATGAGGGCAAGCACCTCATCTTATGCCCAAGCGTCCTGCCCACAGCCCGAGCATCCCACCCTGGGGTGAAGGATGGGGGCAGACACCCCATCAAGCTCCAGGGTAAACGATGCAGATGAGCATCCCATCCTGCACCGCAGCATCACGTCCTGGGGCAAAGGATGCAGGCAAGCACCCTGTCTTGTGCCCAAGCATCCCACCCCACACCTGAGCATCCTGCCTGGTACCCAAGAATCCCACCCTGCGGCGAGGGATGCGGATGAGCATCCCCCATCCTGCACCCAAGCATCCCATCCCAGATCCACCCCCCTCCAGTAACCTACCCCAGTCAAGGGGGTAGGACACCTGTGCGGGTACAAGGGACTTACGAGCTCTGTACTGGAAGATGAGACCCAGCAGACACGCCGCCAGCACGGCCGCCAGCACCCCCACCAGCACCACGAGCTGCTTCTCAGCACGCGTCCGCTCAGCCCAGCACCCCAGGCTGCTCCTTGAGCTGCGGAAGTTCACCTGGGGGAAAAGCAGCGTCGTTTCCCCACCGGTGGAAAAACCCACCGACGCATCCCCCATTTTGCTTCCTACAGCCCACGGCACAAGCTCGGCCCCCAGCGAGGGAGCCGGCACGGTTCAGGCTGGGAAAGGCGGCAGCTGCCTTCCAGAAACTGGCCAGGAAGGGCTGCACAATGGCAGGAAAGGGAGCGGGGCAAGCGTTTCGTCAGGCTCACCTGCTACCCCATGCCACCCCAAACCCCTGCTCGAGGACAGCTGTAACCCCCTGGGTGTCCCCATCCCCGTCCCCATCCCCACCGCCAGCACTGGCACAGGGTGGGGGCCGCAGCAGCAGTGGGAAGTGCCGTAACAGGATACTCCAGCTCGGCCGAAAAACATCCCCAGGAAACACCCCGATGCAACGGTGAGCGGAGATGGCCCCACCGGGAAAGTAAAAACAAGGAGAGCTCTGATTTTGGGGGCAGAAAAACCCATTTGAGGCAGAGACCAATGGGGCTGAGAGCAGGGCCAGCACCAAGAGCATCGCTCCAGCCCCAAATCTTTTCCGGCAAGGCTGGATGCTGGCAGCCATGGGGATTTTTTTCTTGCCACCCTCAGCCCTTCATAAGTTGCTTTCCCGCAGCTCAGGGAGGAATTAACCTAATCCCCTTTTGTGCGGGACAAAGCTCCCACCGCCACGTTAATTGCTTGTCCCAGCCACACCGGGAAGGGGTTCGGCCAGCAGAAAAACTGGGTTCTGGGGCATCGCCAACAGCCAAGCCAGGATCCAGCCCCACAGGCTCTCCCGTCGCTGGTGCCAAGTCCTGGGAAGGGAGCAAAGGGCGGCAGCAGCAGCAGGAGCCGACATGGCTCTGCCCACGCTGGACTTTGCCCCACGGAAGGTTTCCCAGGTGGAAAACCTCCCTACAACCCCCTTTGCTGCTTGCTAGGACCTAAAAGCCCCTTCCCAACCCCCCCCAAATACAGATGAAGCCCTACCTGGAAGCCATTGGGGTACGCATCGCCTTCGCTGATGGAGTCCAGGGGGTCTTCATCGTCCAGCGTCGCCCGCTTGTAGGTCGACATCTGCACAGGGAGATGGGCAAACAGAGGCACGCTCAGTGGCTCAGGGTCGAGGAAGAGGAAGGAGGACGAGGAAGGAATCTTCACCTTCTAAAGCTGCTGCCTCCTCCTCCGGGGAGCTAAATCCCGAATGGCTCCAGGGTAGTAAAGCGCTAAACAAACGCCGGAGGAAGGTTATGGAAAGCAAAGAGGGCTGGAGCCAAAAGCTGAGCAAAGCCCGAACCCGCCTCGCTTTCCCCCGGGGCCCGGTTGTGCAACCTCCCCTTCAGCCTGGAATAAAGCCCGTTCCTCCTCCACCGGCTCCGGCCCGGCAACAGGGAGAGGGACACTCCCCGTGCCAGGGACCCACAGTGTGCTGGGGACCTGAGAAAGGCTGGTAGCGGAGAAAATGGCTTTTCACCCCGAAACTACCGACTCACTCATGCTCCACACCCCGTCTGCGAACCGTGAGCACCTGGAAACACCCCTCTGAGCACCCAAAGGAGAGAGTACCTTGAAGTCAGGCTGCTGACGGACTCCCTGCCAGCTCCTTGTCCCTCAGGCGTTATCTTGCGCCGGTGCCCAGCTCTTATCTTGTCCCCCAGCAGAAAAACAAGGGGAAACCTCATGGGTTGGCAGCCAGCCTTTATCGTGCTGCCGCCATCGTTTCCTTCCCCTACTCGGCACAGCCCTGCCACCCAGCCGGGTTGTCTCTCACCAGGGAAAACCACCACTGCTGAGAGGGTAAGCACCCTAAAAATCCACCCTGATCCCTGCCACCGATGGGCAGAGTGGCCCTGGTCACAACCCTTTGCCCCAAACGCAGCACCAAGCAGGGGTTTCCACCCATCTGGATGTCCCCGTCCCACTGCCATCATCCCCAAAGGGACACTGAATTGATCTGAACCCAGCACAGGTGTGCCTCAGTTTCCCCTGGCAGGAAGGGACATGCAATGAAAGCGCCAGTTCTCAGCCCCGTTTCTGATAACAACCTTCCCAAACCTCCCCTTGCAGAATTAATAACGAATCCCATCCTCTCCCTGGATCCCAAATTACACCCTCGGTTTAATTAACCACAAAACCCACCTGAGGAAGAAAAAGGGTTAAAAGAAAAAGGCAGTTTCCTTCCTTGCTTGTGCAAAAAGCTCCCTTTCTAGCCTCAAAAATCTCCCCCCGGGTGCCCACTTCGAGCCTGCAAACCTTGAGATGAAAAAGCTTTAACTGCAAGATTTTATCACTGGTGAAACTTGGTTTTATATTGTTTTTTTCCAACCCCTTTCACTTTTTCCCCTTGTTTTTTACACTTCACACATGGCTGAAAGTCGCAGCTCCGGGCACGAATCCCCACTCCCACGGGGCAGGGGGGTGGTGGTGGCGGGGTGTCCACAAAGCCCCTATAGCTCCAGAGTACCAAATTCCTGGAGTCCCAGCTTTTGGCCAAGGCTTTCACTCCATTTCCTGAGGAAATGAAGTTGGGGATTTTTTTCCAGCAATCCCCCACCCCGCCTGCCCCAGCCTGAAAACAGCAGGAAAAAGGGAAAGCGGCAAAAAAAAAAAAAAAAAAA